AACAAGGCCCTCCAGTTCACATTTTGCAACTATGCCTTTTTACTGTTTACATCTTATCCAGAAAAGCCAAGCAAAGAGAACAGGTCTCTATCGTCATTGGTTTAGATATAGAAAAGATTTGCCTGAGGCTCCAAGTTACGTACAAGCTGTCCCTCTGGATCTTTTGCTGGAACACTATTCTTGGCTACCACAGTGGCAATACTCCCGAAAGTCTAGATGCAAGACCATTCATCACTGAAAATGGTCTGTCAACTTCTTGTTTTACCTGAGGCACATCTTTAAAATGATTTTCCTCAGAAAGAATTTATAGGATACCAACTGGGCCTTTGTATATATTTGTTATCATAAAGAAATCTAAGCAAGTATTGTTAGCAGTTGTCTCTTTAGCTATCAGTATTTCCCCCTCAAGTTCTAGCAGCACACATTTCAAACCCATTTCTGAGTAAATGCCTATTTCATATATATTATCTCTTCCTGCAACTAATTGCATAGCTCAACTTGGTAACTACTTCTTCCCCAGCACACTTGCTTTTTCTCAAGCTTTCTTAAGCAGTTCTGTGATTTCCACTTACCTAGCAAATCTGTTACACATAATAGCTAGTCTCACAGCTAAAGTTGGTGTAGTTTACTAAGAATGAATTATTCCAAAACCAATCAGATTTACATATTTTGCTTTGATATCCTTCCAAATTGGGTATTCCCTTAGGAAATGTTGACATATCTATCAGCAAGTCTTATGTTTGTAAATATCCTTCTGGGTTTTGAGTGATTTTTTTTTTTCAGAGTAGTAGTAAATAATTGAACTGTTTTCCTTACCTTTTGCATTACTGCTGATTTCCTCTGTTTTGCAAACTGAATGATTGTTGCAAATATGTTTGGCAAATGCCATGACCTATTTTAGAATGCCTCTGTTCAATCTCACGTATTAGAAACAGAACTGTAGTCACAGGTCCTAGGGCAGTCAATTTTTCCTTTTCCTAGTAGTGGCAGCTTTTTTTTCCTCATGAGCTGCTACAAAAATTGTTAAAACTCTATGGCAAATTCCACAGTTTCTCAGTATGTCTTTGTCTTTTGCTGATCTTCACTTGCAAAGCCAAGTCTACCCTAGGATTAATAAATCAATTTGTACTACTTCCTGGCAAGGTGAAGCTGGTGGCTGACTTGAAACAGCATGTCAAGGGCTGTACAGTCTTTTTTTTTCTGGACGTAGATTTTGAGTATCATCAAAACTATATTAGTCAAATTTGATGCAACAGAATTCCATTTCTGTCCATCTCCTGAGCCAATGACTGTGACGCTGATGGTAAACTGTGCTAAACCAATTGTCCGTATGGTTTTGCAACATTTTGCATTGATTTAAGCAAAAATAATCCAGAATACCTCCAAAGTAGGTGACAGTTGGAAAGTACCTGTAGTTTCTTACTGATCCAGTTCCAGTTCTGACTGACTTCTGATCTGTGAACCTTTAATCTTTTTCTCAGTGTTTTTTCTTAGCTCCTTAAGTTGTGTTTTAACTAAGTCCAGTGCTTTGTTTTCTGATGAAAAATCGGGTTGCTTATCCAAGATCACAAATCTCCAAGTGAGAAAAGAACTGAATCAAGTCTCCACATTCAGGATTAGTGGTGTAACTACTGGCCTGAATTACTTGAAGTACAAGGCATGCATTACAAACCAAAGTTGATCAGACAGATGTTTATCTTTAGAAATACACAATTACTTACTTATCTTTAGAAATACATGCTTAATAACATAAAAATATTTCACAGAAACATTAATGTAACCATAATTGTAAAGGAAAAGTTATCAAAACATTTCTTTCATCAAGTTCAAAATTACTTGTAAAACTAATAAAAGTCTGAAAGCAAAACAGTAAAATTGAAAGAGTACTTCTTTCTCTTTCAAGCCAACTAATTCTGTACAGCATTTCAAAATAAGCAAAAATCTCAGAAGGTATTTTGTCACTTTTATTCTGTTGTTGCTGTAATCTGAATAATCACTTCTATCCCAAGCCTCCTGTTTTGCACAACTTCGCCCTGTATACGTGTTACCTTCAGCTTCCACCTCTAATTTTCTTTAGATGCCCCACAAGCCATTTCTATGCTTATGTTGTGTCTTAGGTGCCTATAATCAAGGAAGGAAATACAGTGTATTATTGTAACTTTCATTTATGAATCTTGCTGGTAACTCGGGGCAGTTGCAATCATTACTATGGCACACTCACTCTACCTCTTCTGTTGCTCATAACTGATTAATTGTGATATGGAGCTGTATTCATTTTCCCCACCTTTGAAAAGGAGGCTGACTGGCTCAGGCAGTGAGAAATCTTTGAAAAGGAAGACTTCTAGCAGTGTTCCTTATCCCAATAAATTTCTTGCAAACTATATGCAATCTCTTTTCTGTACATCTGTTTCAGTAACAAAGTGAATGGTATAAGGCATAATTCATTACAGATCATGTGGGTTTTGAGATACTTCTCAACTCACGTCTGAATATTTAATCAGAGTGTATGTATCCACATGTTTATGGCAACAAAAGATATAAACCAGTGAAGAACCAGATATGCTACCCAGGCCTACCTGAATGATAGCTCGAAACTCAGGATTGCCTTATTTATACCTTCTTTGTACAAGAGAACAGATTTTTTTAATCTGACAAATTTTGCCTTTCTTCTGTAAATACTTACTTTCCTTCCCAGAAAAAAGCATAGTATCTTACTAATAATACTGTGAAACACATCCATGTTTTCCTCTTGGGCATTGCGTGCATTTCACAGCTGTGTTGGGTTTGACAGGGACAGAGTTAATTCTCTACGTAGCAGCTGGTATGGGGCTGTGTTTTGGATTTGTGCTGACAACAGGGTTGATAACACAGGGATGGTTCTGATGCTGAGCAGGGCTTACCCAGAGCCAAGGCCTTTTCTGCTCCTCACCCCACCCCACCAGCGAGGAGGCTGGGGGTGCACAAGAGGCTGGCAGGGGACACAGCTGGGACAGCTGACCCCAATGATGCAAGGGATATCCCATACCGTATGATGTCATGTTCAGTATATAAAGCTGGGGGAAGAAGGAGGATGTGGGGGGACATTTGGAGTGATGGTGTTTGTCTTCCCAAGTCACTGTTCTTTGTGATGGAGCCCTGCTTTCCTGGAGGTGACTGAGCACCTGCCTGCCCATGGGAAGTGGGGAATGAATTCCTTGGTTTGCTTTGCTTGTGTGTGTGGCTTTTGCTTTATCTATTTAACTATCTTTATCTCAACCCACAAGTTTTCTCACTTTTAACCTTCTGATTCTCTGCACTTGCATGGGGCTTAGTTCCCAACTGGGGTTAAACCATGACAACAGCAATAACGAAGTCACTCACCACAATACCCACCTTTTGGTTCTCAGTACAGACATTTGATAGAAATAGTAGGAGACTGGGATAATGAAGAGCAAGAAGATAAAAGTTTACCTGAAAGCTATGAAATAATTTCAGAGAACATCCTTCTTCCATGGAAGGAAAATGTTCCTATGTTTAGGAAACATATAGAAGCATGTGCCTTTCAGTGTGTCCCAAAGATAGAGGGAAGGAGGAAAAGGAAAGATGGAACAGATGAAGGAAGGGAGTGAGGTAGGAATGGAGGAAGAAGAGAATTGAAGGAAGGATGGAAGGAAAGAGGACAGAAAGAATGAAGAAAGGAGGAAAGGAAAGGGAGGGCAGAGAAAGAAAAGGAAGGAAGAAATAAAGGAAAGAAGAAAGGAAGAAAGTGAAAGAGGGAAGGAAAGGAGAGGATGGAAGGAAGGAGCAAACTGGGGTGTAGCTGCTTGTGCTGTTCCTGCATGTCTGAGAATCTGGAGACCTGTGATTAACTGAATACTAATTTTATTCTTAAATTAAAAAAAATAATTCTTTCCTCAGAAAATATGGATTAAACATGTTTTGACAGATCCCTTTATTTTACCACTGAAAACAATAGACATGTATTTGCTATTAAAAGGTATCAGAAAGGATATAACATTTTAAAGAACTAAAAGCCCTTTCTAAGGTGACAAACTGTAGGGGGCAGGAAGAAGTTTTAGAGGAGAGGTTTCTAATACTTGCTTTCATCAGAACTAAAAGTAATTGGTAGGATTTGGCTTTTTTCCTCCCTTGTCTGTACAGTCAGAATTTAATTTAAATGGCCTTTTGCAGAACATAAAAAGCTTCCACCTAAACTTTGTCTTTCCCCCAACCTCACAAGCCCAAAGGTAGCTCCTGCTGCAGCCTTGGAGCCAGCAGGCAGTTTGGGTTTCCAAGAAGGTCTCAGGGCTGCGCCCAGCTGAAGAGCCTGCCTTTGCTCAAGAGGCAAGATGGAGAGCAATGGGCCTTGCAAGATGGAAAAACCTTGGGATACATGTGCCTACACCAAGTCAGGTCTGAAAACAGGATGTCCCCTCAATACACACCCAACACAGCTGCCATAAAAATAGTATTTGAAGATAAATTGGAGCACACAACTCCCTTCTGTAATCCCAGAGGCATACAGTCCTTCATCAGTCCCTTTGTGCAAGGTCTGTGGTTACAGGCATGCCTTAGTAATACTGGGAAACTTTCCTAGTGCTTGGAAGTATCAGGATTTATCTAGTTTTGGGGCTGAGCAGAAAAATAAGCATTTACAGCTATATAAACTACATGGAAATATCCAATGAATCCTGTTTCCTCCTTATAATGTCTTTGTTTAATACATATAATTGCTAACTAAGTGAAACAGAGTTATGCCATCTAGTTGAGCAGTTGCACATACTGAAATGCTGGCATCAGGTTAGCCGGGCACTCCCTGTAACTACGCCCTTACAAACAATGTGTGTACGTCTTTGGCATTGATGCAGACAGGCAGAGAAGCAGTGTTTGCAATATTCCCCTGCAGTCTCCACTTCGCTCGCATCATGGCCGGCTCAGATAGGGCTCCCTGTCTAGGAAGGGAAATTTCTGAACAGCACAACAGGGTATGAATGTGGGAAAAGGCGACAAGCGTGAGCAAAATGTTACTAAAGCTCATCTGCTTCTTCCTCTGCGTTCTGATTGCACCATATCTCACAGGTAAATGGCTAAAATATCTTTAGTTGACTTAAGTTAGAAGATGAAGGGGTTGTGAGAAACAAAGTCTTTTGTCCTTTTGTTAAACATGCCTCTATGAAACTTAAGCCAAATAGTATGAGTTCAGGTGATCTTGATTTTTAATTCTTTGTCTCAATAATAGAATAAGCAAATGAAAAAGACAATCCATAAATTCTATGTTCTGCAAGTCAATTCTGAAATCTAAAGGAGAGTTTCAGTTTGAAGGAAATTAATCTACTTATACTGTATTTGTCTCTGCTCTTTTTCTGTTCTATGAGAAGCTGAACTTTCAAGTCCTCTTTTAATGCTGCTGTCTTTGAACGTGGGTAGGGTATAAAGTGTTAATAGCTCAAAACTATTCACTGAGGGTCTCCTTTACCCTGGAAGGAAGTTGTGCAATTTGTAATTTGCTTCTCCAAGTAAATGCTAGGCTCCAAACACATCTCCTAGAAAGAGTTTGGCTTTAGATCTCCTGACTACACTTCAGTGTGTTTGCAACGGTCAGCCCTCTAGAAAGCAAACATGGCTTGCCAGCATGCTCGGATTTTGCTCAGTTCTGTCTTTTGAAATGAGCCATCTTAGCTCCTCAATTCAGGTTGTGTCTTGCTCCATTTTCTTCTCTGCCTCAGAAGAAATAATTTTATAGCTTCCTTGGCCAGCAAAACACTTTGGATCATTATTTATAGTTCTTAGTTGCTAGGTACGGAAACCACTGACTCAGCATCAAGTTGCATATGCTCTGAAAGTTTATTCTGTGGAATAGGGAAGATTATGATGTATGTTTTTAAAAGATGGTGAAGCTGGGCAACTATTCTTTAAAGAAATTTGACTTTATTTTTACTATATTTTTGTTTAAGGCCTGGCTAGTTGTGTGATGTTTCTGCACAGGAGCCATGTTGCCTCTGTGTGTAGTGGCTGCCAGCCTTGGTCAGCTGCAAACGCATCCAATTTTTTCTACACTGTGGCAGAGGGTAGGAGAGGAAGGTGGGATAATTTACAATGTGTCCCCCATTCTCTTGACCTTGACCTGAAACATGCGAATTTGTGTTCTAGTCCCCTTTTTGAGCAGAGAACATTTTGTGATTGAACATTTCTGTCTACATCTGCTCCTGTGGTTGCACAGAGCTGAGATCAGAAGACAGTGTGTTCCTGTCTAGTCTGGGAGTCCAGGCTTTGTATCCTAGGTGCTGGGGAGAAAAACAGGCAAGAGGCTTATGTACTAGGCTCTGGCCTTTTGCAGTCAGTTTGTGCAATCGGCAAATGAGGAAGGGGAAGAGCTTTCAGGTTAGAGTTACAGCCAAAGAGATTTTTTTTAACACACTTTGTTGTTGTTGTCTAAAATGCTGTGTTTCTAGGAGTTAAAGACATATGGCTTTCACTTTCACAGTTTAGCTTACAAAGAAATTCCTTTAGCATTTTGGGTTGTTACAGACATTACTCTTTTGTCACCAATATTTAGAGTTCAGAATTCCCTTGTCAGATTCCCCTTCACTGAAATTTCCTCAAATGCAGAGAGGCAGACCATGCTCGAAGATACAAGAAGCTGGTGACATTGTTGTCCTCCAGATTAGAAAAAGGAGATTAAATAGTGCAATTGAAAGTAAAAGACAATGCTTATTAGCAGAGCAATAAGGAAGGATTTCTCAGCCCTGTTTATAAAATATTAAGGGGTATGCCAGGAAAAGCACAGATGAGGTAAAGCACTTCTGAACACTGCAACTCTGATTCTGGAGTTACTGTTACCTCTTGTGTTTGTTGAGGCCCTGAAAGGAGAGGCTGCTATGAATGAAGAGGTAATTTTGTTAATATTTTTGCAGTGTTTACTTGCATTTAACAGTAAGTAGTGGTGATGATGGTGATGAAGTAACAGCAAGTAATGATGAGGTAGTAGTGATGAAATATTATTGTTCTACATTCACAGAGTAAGAAGAGTATCAAAATTTGTCCAAGAGCAATGTAATTTTATCACGGTTTATTTAAGGCATTTTAAACTGAAAAGTAAGACAGACAAATATACTGGACTTGATCATGAAAATAATTTCACTTTTAATTGTAGATTCTTTAACATGAACAGGAGAAAAATGTTAAACAAGAGAAATCATCACCAGTCTAAATGGAAATCCATTATTTGTGTAATAAGTGAAATGGAATACACTGCTGATAGGGTAGGAGGCAAAAATGCTCTTTACAGGGGAAATTTGGACATGTCTTTTCTTTGCCATGACTGGAGATGTTGGGGTAAGAGTCAGTACTCTGACTGTAGTTTGGCTTTTCCTGTGAGACTATTTACATATTGCTTGTGAATCCAAAATCAAAGTGGTACGCAGCCCAGGACTAACAGCCTTCTGGGCCTGGTGTGCTCTCTGCATCCAGTTGTCTCCTGCACTTTTTGTGATTGCTGTTTCTTTTCCCTTCAAAATGCATAGACCAGAGTTAATGGAGTATTTTAGTGCAGAAACAATATACTTCACTGTTTATACTGGGTGCTTTCCCTGTTTATATAACCTAGAATTGTATTTTCTCCCAGTGTTAAACATGTATTTACTTACAATTGTTTTGTGGGCTGTTGCAACAGACAGAATGGAGAAACCATGAATATAATTTGTTTGGATATGACACAGGATACGTTATGTCTAGATCAATGGTACTTTGCAAGAGCATGAACCTCTCTTCCAAACTGCAGCTTTCAGCATGGCTCTGGGTCCCAGGCAGAAAGCAGGGAAGTGCATCATTGCTTTTATTGCTCAGGGATCCCATTTAATTTGTGTGCTGGATGAAAAGATCTCAAGTTTTAGCTTTACACCTCTTTTGCTTGGTCCTGAGGGTTGTCCACTGTGTTTGCAGTAGGGCATGGTTATGCAGTTACAAACATCTCTGTACATACAATCAAGTGAGACATACTAAAGCCAAATCATAAGTTTCACTTTAGTGTATTTGTTATTTAATTATTTAACCTTACAAGGACAAAATCTTATCATTTTTACAAGTAACAGCTACATGCATACACATATGTGTACTTATGCCCACACAGAGATCTGTTTCTGAATTCTTTGATTTTGAAAGGTAAAGAATATCTTTCTCTAGGGATGCAGTTCCCTTCATCTGAAGGCAGATGTCCAAACTAGTGCACCACTCGTGAACTATATGTAGATAACACTATACCCTTCCACCACCGTCTTACTTGCAGTGCTGGAAACTTAGTTTTCTGACACTAAAGTGCACACACTCCATGGCACTGAATGAATAGCCGCTGCATGCTATGGCTTTGCCACAGAAGGTATGTGACTGTAAAAATCAGCAAATATGTTCTGTAGATAACACATCTGAGCATTAGGGTTTTATATATCTTATTTTTCTTGGAGAGGCGTTCTTACAAGTAGCAGAATTTATGCCCATCCTGAATCTATTAGTAGCAAACAGAAACTTCAATCGATGAGCTTTTATTATAGAGGCACATACACTGTCATTAGGCCCAGAGTTTTTCCTAATGAAAGGAGGAAAGAAACCTTAGTGTCTGTATGTGAACTTTTGTGGTTCAGCTGAAGTGATGTGACAGGTCTCACTGTGCCAATGGAAGAGTCACTGGTTTTGCCAGTGCACCAGGAAAACAGTGGACTAAGCGAAGCATAACCAGGAAAAGAAGATTGATCTTAACCAGATACAAAATAATCTTTGGGCTGTTAAAAGGAAGGTAGTCCAATTCAGAACTATCTTCTTAAAATTGTTTTCTAGACAGTTTAATAAGATAGGGTTCAGTATTGTTGAATACAAAAAACAATAGATATCCAAAAAGTCTGAAAGTCAAGGACTTAAAAAATTAGGAAACACTCCAGTGCACTTCACTCCTGTTCAGACCTGGAACATCATTGTGTGCATGAGTCATGTGGGAAAAACTAATGTCTGATCATGTCACTGAGGTTTGTTACGTAATTAAAACACTTAGGTACACCAACTCCCGAAAGTAACATGGGAGCCAGGAATACCAGGAAAAGTAGTAGCAAACAATCTAAATATTGAGAAGCATGGAGAGTGCAAGAGACCAAATGGGTGATTAAGCTGCAGGTTGAAGGTCAACAAAGACTTTTTTTTTAAAGACAAAAAGTGCCTTGACACTAGTATGGACCCCCAACTGGCTAGAAGTGATAGAACAGCTGATACAACAGACAGTGACTCTTGTCCTAGCTAAATAGCAAGGAAGAAAGCTTCTCATCCCAGTGATATTTGACTTTTTGTTTACAGAACGGTTGAACATCATGGCAATAGATCCATATAACTTGTGCCAAAGAATCATACAAGAGTCTGCATCCAGTTCCTCCATGTCATTAGTGATTTTATAGAGATATAAATAGAGGGAATATTCTAGGGGCACAAAGAAGACCAATGTTGTTCCAATGCTTTAAAAGAATAATCATCATGAACACATAGCTCATGGACTTGTCAACCTGGTTTTGATCCTGGGTAAAACAACTGACTTTACCTGGTTAACTTTGTAAACACAGCTTAAAAGAAGACACCCTCTTTTAATGACAATTAAAGACTAATGGAAGATAGACCTTGTGAAGTTAAATATATGTAATTAAAAAATTAGGAAATAATATTTAGGTAACAGATATATTGTGATAGAACAGTTACTTTGTTTCTGTGAGAGTGTTGAAATGACTATTGCTACACTGGGTTGGTTGGAATCACTCCATCCATTCCTCCCTTCCAATGGTTCCTTGGGAACCATTCCCTGCTGAGCAGAGAGAACGTAATTTTCTTGGGACTGGAAAGTGGCAGAACAGAGAAGTCTGTTCCCATAGTGTAGTGCAGGATGTGCCCGTGGGCAATCCTGCCTTCTGTGCTCTGGTCCAAACACTGCTAAGGATTTTACATTAAAATGACAGAGGATAAAGTTAACTACACTGTAGGTGCCATCCCACGCTTATGCTTTGACTGTCTCAGAGTAATGTAATAATTTCATTTATAGCCCATTGAATAAATTTATTCTATTAAGAGGTATTCTATTAAGATTACAGCCTACAGGGACATACATTATTAGAATCCTGCAACATGAAAAAGCTGTACCAGAGCTAGGATCTTCTACAGTGCCCAGTCCTGTCAAGACTGAAAAGACACAGCCTATTTCAAACCATGACATCCATTGGAAGAGTCTATAGAATGCAATAGAGTATCTGTTACTTGACTTCATTAAATCAAATTGGATGGCTTTATAAAAGCTTGATCTTTTCTTATTGTTTCACTGATACAATGAAAACCTCTGAAATAATGAAAAGGCATGTTTTGCCTTTCTGTAAGCAGTACCAGCCTAACTGCTCAGTCATTTGCTCTTTGGTTGTGATTTCTTCTCAGTAAAATACCTTCAAACACTGAAGTGACAGTAGTGAAATAAAGAGTGTGTATTTCTGATGCAAACACAGTTTTGCACTATTCTTCTAAGCTTTTTTCCTAGTGCATTCATATACCTTTTTTCTTTTTTTTTCTTTTGCTGGGAACCTTAGGTGAAGATGCTTTGTTGCCAGCACCTCAGAATATCTCTATTCTTTCTACCAACATGAAACACTTCTTAACTTGGAGTCCTGTGGTCATCCAGCGAGAAACTGTGAGATACTCTGTTGAGTTTCAGGGGTAACTTTTGGTTTTTTTTTTCTTCTTTACTCTTTGAACACTGTTTATTTGGACTTAAAATCCTGCACTGTTTGGATGTCTTGACTGCCATTCAGTTCACAGGCATAAAAGAAGTTTGATACTCCAGCATTGTTGATCACAAGGACAGGAAAAAAATCCTTTTGCTCCAATTCTGAGACTGTTTACAGGTTAATAGGTAGCTGAGTAATCCAAGGTATGCATTAAGCCCACATATGAAAACCTCCACTGTCCAAAGAATTCATAAGTTAGGAAGAGTAGCAACAGTTTATTTAGAAGAAGAAAGAGAAAACATTTGAGACTTACTCAGTGTTAAATGTTTAAAAGATTAACATGCATTACAGGAGGTTTCTGATATACCTTGAGCTATGACTTGTATCACAGTATGGCTTTGGAATTCTGGTTTACCAGGGATGATCTAGTCAAGTGAGTAGGCAGGATTTGATGTATCAACACTGCGTTGGCTGTCCCCACCTCCTACAATATCATGCTGCATTTGGCTCATGGACAACCTGGCTCTGGGAGATTTTTCTCTAGAGAAGATCTAAACCACACCCATACTAGTTTCATACATTCCTGATATTCCAGCCCCAATGCATCCCAGGACTGGTTTTACCTGGAAAGAGCTAGCAAGCAGCCTTAGTCCATGTTACAGTTATAACTTTATCAAAGTGTTGCTGTCTGCTTTCTTTTCCTCTCCTCAGGGAGTATGAACGAGAGTATGCCAATGAGAGCTGGATTCGCATCTGTGAATGTTCACTCATCACAGCCACAGTGTGTAACATCACAGAGGATATCTCAGCCACTGTGGCCTATAAACTGCGTGTAAGAGCAAATGTTGGTGCTAGAAGATCAGAGTGGGGCACCCTGAAAGGTTTCTTCAATCGCATCACAAGTGAGTCCTGCTTTTTGGTTTAAGCTATATTGGTCATGTTAATTTCTGAGTTCAGTGTTGAGGGATAGCTTACCTGCCTGTTTGTGTACTGTGCATGTCACACAAAGCCCATGAACACACAGAGCACATCCTGCTTCTCAGCTCCTCTCATGTCGGGTTGGGATGTTTCACTCTCAGACAGCCATGCTGTGTTCTTGGAGGAACATGAGTTCCTTCTGAGGCAGGGCCAAATTTACCAGGGCTTGAATTTCAAGGTCTTCAAAGATAGGTAAGAAGACTCCATGCATTTCTTTTGGCAAGTTGGCCACTCTTGTCCCTGGTTTCGAAGAGTTCTGATCAATCAGGGTTGCTGTCAATGCTCCATCTAATCAATGTCATCTACTCACTTCTGAGAGTCTAAAACCTGATCCTATGGAAGCACTTACTCTAGAAAACAGCCAAGTCACCATCTATCTGCCTCATGCTGTCCTGGAAATCCTGCTCCCTTCCAGACATGATTCCCTCCTCCCATGTTGTCAGGTATATGAAGTATCCTCAGAAGAGGAAAGAAAAATGGAAACCATAGCATTGCTGAGGTCCTAGCAATGAAGGGTATTTTCTCCATATCCTTCCAACTGCTGCAAAGCTTGAGACCCAGCTCAACCCAAGGATCACGTTGCAGCCAAAAATTAGCATACTATTTCCAGTGCTTCTCTGGAATCGTTACCTCTGTTCTCTGCCATGTAGTCCACTGCTTTCAGTATTAAAAACTGTGGTGGAAAACCTCTGTTGAAGTCACTATGAGAGTGCAACTCTCTGTCTGGGATGGGCGGGAGTCATCAGTTTTAGCCAGGGAAGAAATTGCCTGTCCTAGATGAGAGCTGACCCGATCTTAAACCTTCATCAGTCATTGGAACTTATCTACTACTTCGTGAGTGAGCGATCTTCACTCATACAGGGCACCATCAGAAGTGCCACCTAAGTTGGTGAATATGTCTCTTGGTGTGGAAGTGTTTTCTAGATAGTGCTTTAGATGAAGAATCCTTCCCTGGGGGCACAAAGTTGAGCCATGAAAAATCCTTCCCTTTTCCAGCAGCTATGGTGGCACAGAGTTCAGCCACAGACCACACCGTCAAGCAGAGATAGCAGGATAGTTCTTATCTTGACCTTCTTCATGAAGAAAAGCAGCAACTTTCTCATGGTACAGTGAAGTATTTGACAGCTTGGTCTTAGAGACCTCAATACAGTCCTCTAGCTAAGCTGTGAAAGTTCAGAGGATATAACTTGCAATGGGCTGCATTGTGAATATGCATATAAGGACAAATGTTTAAAGGGGAAAGAAATGTTGCTGTAAGTTCTTGTCCTTATTTGTTTTTACTGCTCACTTTCTGTTGTCTCTGCTTTCATATCTCTTAGGAAACCTGGCATTAAGTCTGAGAGGAACTAAGGAATTCAAAGCACAGCCCACAGGTTCCATATGTGGTTCATAGACAGTCAGGGCATCAGTAAAGCCCGCAGTACTTCTAGAGTAAATAGCTCCAGTGTCAAAGCCCTAGATGTAGATACACATAAAGTATGACAACACATGGAAAACATTTTTAAAAGATCTTCCTAAACCTAACAATTTAGTCAGTCTTACTTCTTCACTTATCAAAATTCAAACAGGTATTTCGTGTCCAATGTGCCAGCACAGAGATAAATGTAAATACTCTTGTTTGGTTAGTAGTTACATCTTGTAATGTCCCTTTGTTAATACATTAGCCCAATATTTGGTTTTAACTTCTAAATGATGTTATCACTTTTTTTATTTTGAGACATCATGTTAAGCAGGTTCTCAGCTTTTAATTTTAAAGTATAAAGTAGTTTTCCAGGCCTCCCATTTGTGGCATGATTATCATGAACATACTTGGATTTTATGTTTTCATATTGTTCCGTATTATTGCCAATTCACTGGATGTAAGAGCAAATTCTATTAAAAACAACTCTTCTGTATGTGGCTATACATTGCTCTCCTTTTCTTGAAACCAAGGAGGTTGAAACCAGTTTCAGCTCGAACAGAGTGGTTAAGAATGGCATAGATAAGTAGTGCAAATGTGATCTCTGTACTGCCTTGATTCCCAATTCACAGATGTACGGTGTGTAGTTTCATCCATATTTGATTCTGATTGTTTCACTAATGTTCCTCACAGCAGAATCCCAGACCGAACCAAGCTTTGAATATCAAAGTAAGCAGGAAGCAAATTGCCTACAGATTTACTTGCATACATTTCCAAAAACTTAAGTCACAGCAGGTCATCAGCCCAAGTCTATCTAAAACCATGTAGATACAAAAAGAAAGTCAGCATTCATGTGAACTGCCAGAGTTATCCCGAGGCTCATATTGCTTTTTCCTTCACCTTTGTAACTGCCAAAATTCCCATCAAGAAGCAGTGGTTTCACAGCTCCTGTTCTGTTTGTTAGTGCTAAGCTAATGCCCAGGAGCAGAAGAACTGGCCTGATGTGGTGTCTCAACTTCTGGTTGCCCAGCTGGTTCTGCTGCTGTTGATCACATGGGACCCTCAGGCCAAACACTTCCTCCACTGAAGAAAATTCAAAACCTTTCAAGTTCTGTGCAACTTGGCTATTGCCAAACTCCTATTTGCAATGCCAGTCATGGTCTTCCTCCTGCTCAAAGTCTGCTGCTGTATCTAGACATACTGGAAGGTAGAGCAGAGAGAAGTTTCTGTCCCACTGAAGCAACCAGCTATTATTCCAGATTAATGTTACTGTGCTCATGATGGCAGCTTCTCTTCCTCTCCTAGCTGGGAAAAGGAAGACAGTTTTTTAAGGGTAGCCTCTAATGTGATAATGGTGCTCTCTCTGTGTTGGCAGCTTCCCTGACCCCACCTCTGATGAAGGTCATAGCAGATGGGTATCATTTACTAGTGGAGCTGGAAGACATGGGGCCTGCCTTTCAGTTCTGTGTTCTCTATTGGAAGAAGGGCCAGGAGAGTAGGGTGAGTTTTACCCTCGGGTTTTGGGCAATAACAGCACCCACATACTTAGAGTGAAAGCATACAGACATTGCCCAAGGCCTGCTTGTGAGTCCAAGCTCCTGCTGTGAGGCTGGAGGACCTGCATGGAATCAGTGCGTGCCATATTCCTTTGCCCATACTAGTGGGTTGCTCTGACCCCCATGGAGGAGCTTGTCCGTTCTTTCCACCTTTCCTTCTCTGGGAAGAGGAATCCCCCCAGGGACCTACTGAAAGAAACCAGAAGTCATGAACTGAAGGTGTTTATGCTGACTTCCTTCTCTGAACATCATTTGGATTACTCAGACCAAGATTAAGGTGTCATACTCAAGTGCTGACAAAGTTTTCTCAGGAGTTTTCTGTAAGACAGCTTGCCTGTGACAGTGAGCTGTAACTTGCTTGGCTGAGGGCATTGCTTACACCTGGGTAACACTGAAACAGTGGCAATTTATGTTCCATTCAGGTCCTTCTGTTTTCACTGGACATAAATAGGTTTTTTTTCTCCTGGGAACTTGGTGCTTCCATAGCACAAAAAAGCATGGAAGCTGCCATTTAAAGCCAGACCATGGGACCATCAAACCCAGTATCTTCTCTCTGCCAGTGGGCAATGGAGATGACTAAGGAAGATAATAAGGAGAGAGTCTGTGTAGTTACGTTTAGATTATTTTCTGAGATTTCAGAGACGCAGCTCCAGGAAATTCCTGAGCCAAAAATGGTATCATTAATAGTCCTTGCTTAATTTTTGTTCCATTAATTTATCTGCTCTGGTTTTCAAGCTATGTAAACTTTTAGCATATACAACTTCCTGTACTCAGGACTTCTGCAGCTTAACTGTTGTGCAGTCTCAGTCTTTGTGTGAGGGTGGAGAAAGAGCAAGTGAGAGAGAACAGTTATTCCCTATTCACCTTCCCTACCACTCTAATAGTTTTATATTGTGTATCTTTTTCCAGGGCAAGGACTCACAGACTACTTAGTTGTTCCCTGTGGAAGCCCTTCCAGCTATTTTTGCCTTTACCAAGGTGGGCAGGGAGTAAACCTGCACAGTCCAAGGTGCAGGAGCACTATGGGTTAGCACCATAAAACAAAACAAGTCTTCACATTCTTCTTTTCCCAACAATTGTTAACATGGGTGACTACCACAGAGCTGACTATTCCATGAAACCTGAACCCCAGGTGCCTGTTTCTGATGGGGAATGCTTGACTTAAGGTCCAGTCACTGATTGCAAAAATGAAGGGGAAAAATTCTCATGAACATCATTTCACATTTATGTTGAATTTCATTTGTCATTTTATTACAGGATCCTCCTGCAGTTGGCTGTCATCGTTATTAATCTGAAGTGGTTTTTTAGTATCATTAGCATGTGTCGGTTTTCATTTTTCTTCCTGATCATCTGTAGTAATACAGTGGTGAGCACAAATCTGCATGGGTCTCCACCATGACTTTCTTCCACTCTGAGAAAGGATTAGCAATTTAACCACACAAAATCAGCAATTTAATGATCAGGAAACAACTGGGGCAGGGCTGCTCACTATGAGCAGGCAAGCCAGGAGCCAAGGGTGATCCCAGTGCAAGCAGTACCCTCAATGAAGCACAGACTCACTGGGTTTGACCACAGCAGGCAGAACCAGGTACTGGTAACAGGATCCATTAGCAACCCCAGACGAGGGAAGTGATGAACCAGGCCCAGGGTCTGTACAAGGACCCCAGCCAGGAGCAAAAAGGAGATAGAGCCAGAGACAGGGCTGGAGGTCAAGGCTGCAATGTACTTAACCAAGGGTCCATCCAGGGAACAAACTACACGCAATGTAGGTCCGAGGTCCATCCTGGGGACAGGCACACCTCCAGCATAGCTCAGACTAGGACTGAAGGTCCTGGGATGAACTTCAATGAGGCGCCAGGCAGGGCTGGTCAAGGCCTTTGCAACCTGGTTAGTGCATTCAGAGCTGTGACTCTAGGGCATGGAGAGGGGATGGACTGGGCTAGTGAGGAGGGAATGAATTTGGCGTGTGCAACTGTGCAACTCTTTATCCCATGGCTATTAGCTTAATAGGCTTTTGAAATAGATCTTCTGGACTACCTTTTGGAAATCCAAGTAAATGAGATCAGCCTTGTCCATAAGCTTTCTGACACCTGAGAAAGAATTGTATGGATTTGTATCCGATTGCCTTTTATGAATGAAATATAAAGTCTTCTTCAGTATATGATATTAATCGCCTAAACATTAATTCCAAACTTCAGAATAGTTTCTACCAACTGGACTGTCACAAGCATCAGGTTTGCTGGTAATTACATGTCCAGTACTCTGCTGGGGTACTTCTAATTTTTTAAAAAAATATTTTTCATATTTGATATGTCTGATTTGAGGGTTTTGCAAGAAGTTACACACCCCAGGTGGTCATTGAACTGATTTTGTCCTTGAAATATTTTCAAACTAATGGCCCTCAAGATCACATTTCTGTGGAGAAGGATATTTGGATTGAGAAGAGGACTTGCCCTGCCACAAGAGCCCTACTGGCTTGTTGGAGGTGTCCGTGTGTGTGTGATGCTGGAGGCTGATCAGGACTTCTGTGAGCGCAGAATTGGGAGCAACTAGCTAATTGGTACCTGTCCTCTCATGACTGGGGAAACTTGGAATAGCAACTTCATTTCTCTAGCAGTTAACGGAATCCTATTTATTGCAAGAAAATAATGTACTGGGGTTCATATGCTGTTTAAGGGTTGCTGAAGTGTGTTACAGTTGCACATGCCAAATTTATTCCATCCTCACTAGCCCAGTCCATCCCCTCTCTGTGCCCTAGAGTCACAGCACAGTTCTCACGCCCCTATCACAGTGTGGTTCTGGCACTCCTATTGTATCATGCTAGCACAAGCATGATTTTAGTATTCCAGCAAAAACTCAGATCAGTCAAGACCCTAGTCATCAAGCCCTTGCACCAGCGGAGTAGGTCATGGTCTAGTGTTGTGACCCAACATCATCATTGTGCCTCTTTGGCTCACAGTTGCTTCTTTCCATCCCCTCCTACCTTTCTAGACATGTGTGGTCCCATTCTGCAGTCCACTGTGCTTCCTTGTTTGCTGCTTTTCTCCCTCTTTCCTCTTATTCACACAGTCCTCTGACACCTCCCACTGCTCCTTCCTTTTCTCCCAGTAAAGTCTGGGCTAGCATCATGTTAGGACTGCTGTTCTCAATTAGGTCCTTGCTCTGTGTTCTGATGCTCTCTCTCCTGGGCCTGTGGCAGATGCAGCAGAAAGTGGTGAAAGAGGTCAGCTCCATGGTTCACCTGGACACCATGGAGGCAGGACTTGATTATTGTGTAAAGGCTCAGACATACGTCGAGGCGATCAACAGAAGCAGCGACTTCAGCCAGACACAGTGTGTAAGGGCACAAGGTAACAACCAGCCTTCCTTCCTATTCCCCTGGTGTAGCCATGCGCAAGGATACCGCAGCAGCTCTTCCTTTCACTTCCACCCAGTATCGCCTGTCTTGTTTGCAAATGTGCTACCCATTGGTTCTTGAGGGAGGTAAAAAAGGAAGACTCGGGAATGCAATGCCCTGCACTGGTATCCTTTCTTGGAATATGCCGACAAAGCATCTCACAGGGTGGGTGGGAA